GCTTCACTCTCCACATTGTAGGGCTTAGCTCACCACTTTATTGCTGTTTTTCCCTCACTTCCCCTTATTGGTGATGAGTGTGGTCACCAATCAGAGCATGTATTACCATTGAGTCTTAGTCTTGGAAGGGGGTTTACACTGAGGGGACCCAACCACTTGCCTTGATGTTTCCTGGGCAAGCATACAGTGCCACTCTTACGTGAGTTTTATCAGAGGCTGAATCATTTTTTTATGTACTTGTTAATCAGAAGCAGAGCTACTTGCCCTAGATCACCTACCTGTATTTTAGAAGTTGTGTGATAAAGCAGCTTATCATTTATTCCAATACACAGTTATTCTAATACTTACAGTTCATTTTAAATCCACAGAGGCTACCAATTGAACCTATGTGACTTTGAACACATCACCTCTTTTTTGGTACCATTTTCCCCACCTATAAAAATGGGCATCACAGTAACACCTAACTTATAGGGATGTTGTGAAAATTTAAATGAATTAAAAACCAAAGTGTATCAAACAGCAATTTTGATATACGTTTAGAGACAAAGTGCTCAATTTTCCCAAACTTCTTGTCACCTAATAAGTAATTTATTTAAATAGCATGTGTTATATAATTCTTACTTTTCTCATTAAGGTAATTCCTTTATCACTCATTAAACTCAAGTGAAACAGGCTTCATGTCTTTTCTATTCTCTTCCACTAATAAGTTTATATATATTTAAGGTTAGTGTTGCTGTTAATGTTAAGTGCCACTGAGTTGGTTACAACTCATAATTACTCTGTATAGGTTTCCAAGGAGTGGCGGCAGGTGGGTTTGAACCACTGACTTTGTGGTTCAAACTGAGCCTGTGTTTCAGTGCTTATCCTACAGTACCACACCAGGACTCCATTAGGCTAGTGCTACACTTTACATTTAGAGTCCTGGTGTGGCACTGCAAGATAAGCATTGGACTGCAAGGGTGGTTTGAGCTGAAAGGTCAGTGGTTCAAACACACCAGCCACTCCTTGGAAACCCTATACCAAGTCACTATGAGTTGGAACTGACTTGAGGACACTTAACCAACAACACTTTAAATTTGACCATTGCTAAAATAGTTTTATTTTTTTTCCAAAATTATTTTGTTAATCTTCCTGATGAACTTTAAATTAACTAAATAAGTGCAAAAGAACAATTCCATTAGAATTTTGAACAAAATTATATTAGAGTATAAATAAATAATCGCTTTATAATATCTAATCTTCCCATACTGTCTCAGTTTCAACATCCTCTCAAAAAGTGTACTTTCCTTTTCATCTCTAAACAAAAGATCCATATTTCCTTCATGTGATGTTGTTAGTTGCCATAAGTTGGTCCTCAGCACACAGTCACCCCATACAGAATAAAACAAAATGTCGGTCTTGGGGTCTGTCCGTGATCAATTGTGATTCACAGGGCTTGTGTCATAGAGTGAGTTATTTAATATGACTCTTCTAGCTACAGTCTTTGTCATTCCCAGTGAATGAATGGGTAGGACTACGCAAATTAGAGGCCTGTGGCCCACTAAGAGGATTGGATAGTTTGCTAATAATCTAAATAAGGTGTATGACATCCCTGTGGGAGTAGGACCATAAAAACAAGGTATATGGAACCCAAATGAAGGGATTAGTTAGTTTTGCCATCTTATAGGCTTACGGCGCTGTTGGTTAATGCAATGGACTGCAAAGTCAGTTTGAACCGCAAGGTTGGCAGTTCAAGCTCACCAGCCACTCCTTGGAAACCCTACATAGGGTTGCTATGGGTTGGAACTAATTTGATGGCACTTAATAACAACAAAAACAATAAGAAGGCTTAAAATAAGCCATTGTAGAGGTGGAAAGGGAGACCTTACCACCACCAAGAAAGAATAGCTAGGAGCAGAGGGCATCTTTTGGACCTGGGATCCCTGCACTGGGAGCATCCCATACTCAGGACAGAGAAAGAGAGAGTGATGTAAAACCAGAAACAGGGAGAAGCAGTGGCAGCAAAACAGTGTTCACAGAGGTAGTACCAGGAGGCTGGCAGGAGTCAGTATCAACTTACTGGCAGTGGGTTTGGTATAGACCAGCCAAGTCAATATATAAAACAAAGCATCATAATTACCACACTTTATATACACTGGCCCACAGAGCGAGAAAGGTGAGCACCTTAGGACAAAGAGGCTTGCTGGCAGAGTGGGGTGCCTTTAGAGTACTTATACAGCAGGGAAGAGGTCAAACGGGCCCAAGAGGTCATAGTCCCCACTTCTAGTTGGTCATTACAGTAAATGTCATTGTTCAGTTATAAATGCATTCATTTTATTCTTCCACCAGTGTATGTTAAGTTTGGTAGTTGTGATGGCTAGTTTCCTATGTTGACTTGGCTACACTGTATCAAACCCACTGCCACTGAGTCGATACTAACTCACAGTGACCCTATACACAGTGACCCTATAGGACACATAAGAACTGTTCCATAGGGTTTCTGAGGCTATAATAAATCTTTTGGGGAACAGCCAGCTTCATCTTTCTCTCGTGGAGTGGTTGGTAGGTTTGAATTCCCAACCTTGAAGTTAGCAGTCCAGTATTTAAACCACTCTGACACCAGGACTCCTTTGGCTGGACTATAGTACCCAAATGTTGAATCAAGTCCTAACCTAGATGGTGTTGTACAGGTATTCTATAGATGTGACTAACATCTACAGTGAACCGACTTAAAGGAGATCACCCTCATTACTATGGGTGGTATGCCTCATCCAATCACTTGAAGGCCCAAAGAACAAAAACTGAGGTTTTCCAAAGAAGAAAAACTAACTCAAGACTGTAACATTAAATCCTGCCTGAATTTAAATCACACCAGTCTGCCCTAAAAATGCTGGGCTCAAGACTGAAAAATAAGTAAGTTTCCAGTTTACTGGTTTGCCCTACAAATGTCACACTTACCAGCCCCCATAATTACATCAGCCAAATCCTTAAGTACCAGTCAATGGCTCTCTGTGTTTGTGTGTGTCTATCATCTATATCTGTCTGTCTATCTATGCACTCATCCATCTAAAAGAGGGTTTAAAAAGTTAGTGGAAAAATTGAAATGAAAAGATAATGGAATTATTCTACAAACATCTGAAGCCCCCTTGTATTTCTTCTTTCTTTCTCTCTCTCTATATGTACATATATACATATCTATATTTATTAAACTCAAACCAACTGCCATTGTCAATTACAACTCCTGGTGACCTTTCACAGGGTTTTCAAGGACTGATTTTTTGGAAACAGATTACCAAAATCTGCTTTGGTAATCTGTTTCCAAAAACAGATTTTTTTCTTTCTTCTGAAGAAAAGCACAGAAGGCTTTCTTCTGAGGCACATTTGAGTGGAGTCAAGCCACCAACTTCTTGGTTAGCAGCCTAGCATATTAACGATGGACACCATGTATCTATATCCATATACCTCCCTTGGTTCTAATTCCTTGGAGAACTGTAATATAGTACAGTAGTGATGGCTACATTTACAATTCAGTCCAAAGGCTGCAGAAAGTGAACAGTACCAACTAAGCAGAATTACAGTGTGGCACTGTGGGTTAATGTGCTGGACTGCAAAGTTGGTTTGAACTGCGTCAGCGGCTCAAGCTCACCAGCTGCTCCTTGGAAGCTCTATACAGGGTCGCTATGGGTCAGAACCAACTCTATGGCACTCAACAACAACAGAGCAGAAATGGATATGCTACGGAGATGGAGAATTCTGAAGCAGACGAGTGGCTCTATGTTGCTCGACAACGTGATGTTTGGATGCAAATGTCTTACATTTACTTTGGATTGCTTGCCTATGGGGAAGAAATGAAGTGCCTACATCATGAAAAGTGGCTGCTTCTGGGAAAGGGAGAAAAGTAATAGGACTAGAGAGGAATAAAAGAGACTTTGACTAAACAAAGTATTTCTTTAAGAAAATGGAAAGTCAAATAAAATATGAACATACAACATATTACTCCGAATTTGTCAATTCAGAGTAGTGGAGACATCCAAACCAAATCAAACCCACTGCCAGTGAGTAAATTCCAACTCTTAGTCGTGTGTTTAATATATTATTCTTTGTACTTTACAATAATTTCATATTTTAAAAAAGCTTGACTAAATTTTATTTCTGATGAGCAGGATTAAAAATACTAAAATAAAAATGAATATTAACACAGTATAAAAAAATACTATATTGTTGTTGTGTGTCGCTGAGTCAGTTCTGACTCCTAGTAATTCTATATAGGGTTTCTAGGTAGTAAATCTCTATGGGAGCAGAAAGCCTTATCTTTCTCCCAAGGAGCAGCTGGTAAATTTAAACCATGGAACCTGTGGTTAACAGGAACATGTACCCTACTACGCCACCAGAGCTCTAATATTATATTTGTTATTGTTAAGTGCTGCTGAGTCAGTTCCAACTCAGAGTGACCCTGCATAGGGTTTTCGAGGAGCAGCTGGTGGGTCTGAACCACCAACCTTGAGGTTAGCTTATCCTGTGCTTATCTTACAGTGCCATACCAGAACTCCAATACTATACTGTTGTTGTTAAGTGCCATCGAGTCGATTCTGACCCATAGTGATCTTGTAGAGGGTTTCCTAAGAGCAGCTGGTGAGCTTGAACCACTGACCTTGCAGTTCAAATGGCTTTTAACCCACAGCCACACCAGGACTCCAATAGTAAACCAAATAATAGTAATCGTTTTTTTAAAGGGAGACTTTCTCTTAGGTGACTATATGTAAAGTCTATACAGCCTGATTCATTTGATAATGAGTGGAGTCTGGGTGTGGAGCTATAGGATAAGCATTGGACTTCTAAGCTCAAGGTTGGCAATTCAAACCCATCAGTCGTTCCTTAGAATCCCTACACAGAGTTGCTGTGAGTTGGGACCGACTTGATGGCACATAAGAGCAACAACAGAGATTAAAAATGTTTTCAATACAGATTGGCCACTGTAACAGATAACTGACACATAACAGTGTTCTTTGTGATAAGTTATTTAATTGTATGTTTTTGTCTGCTATACTGTTATTTTACAACAAAAATGTTTAAGTATAATCATTCCATCTAAACACAAATATACTTACTTAAATTAAATTCATTCTTTAGGAAAACGTAAAATATAGTTTGAATAGATTATATAAGATACATTCCAAAAATCAAACCCACTGCTGTGACTCATGGTGACCCTATATAGGGTTTCTGAGGCTATAAATCTTTACGGGAGCAGAAATCCTCATCTTTCTCCTGTGGAGTAGCTGGTAGATTTTAACTGCTGATCTTGCACTTAGCAGCCCAGTGCTTATCCTACAGTGCCACCAAATACTATACAGCACAAGCATTATCAAAATAGTTTTGAAATTATATCATGGAACACTCTAAATGGAGACTTTATGTAGAGACTGTCCACCAAAATCTATTTCTCCTTCCTGGAAAATAAATCTAAAATACATTCTTAGTTTGTAAAATTTACTTGGGCCTGGTTCATAAAAACCTCCCACATACATTCCTCTACATTTTGTCTCTTCCACTTGACTGGCAAAGTGAATCCAAAGTCACTTTCAGTTGCACATTTTAAACACAGAAGAGCCATAGTCAACTTGGGCCCCTAGCGACTGTTTAATGAGTGAGAAGTTGCACACTACTGTTGTGTTTGCCCTTTCATATAGGCTTGAATTTATTTATTATAGCACCAAACATTACAATAATACACTCACAGTACTACATGGTGTAATTAATCCACCTGGGCACTTAAAATCAGACTTCTATAGTTTTTTAATTTTTGTGCAGTTCTTGTATTATCACAAGTATTGTGAGATAAAAATAAGCTAAGCACAAGAAGTAAAAGTTCCACATATGTTGTTAGCTCAAGTAGAAATAGGAAAAGTTATACTTGACAGTAAAACAGAAGACTAAAACAATTCATACTTTCTTCATAGCTATATAAGAAAAGCAAATAATTACGGTAGATCCTAATGTTTAAATTACAATTAGATTTTCTCACTAGAAGTCACAGCTATCTAATAAATCAAATTTCTGAGATAGTAAGAAATGAAAGTTGGCATTTTGAATTAAAATCCCATCAAATTTTCTTACCATCTTCACCACGAGAAATAGCAATCTGTTGGACTGAAGATGAAGAAGCAAACTTCACAGGAACTTTGTATACAGGCTGAGGTTGGGGCTCTAGAATTTTATGTCCACGATCTTCAGCATTAATAAAAATCTCAGATGAAAACAAGGTTTTCTCTGGACTCTCTGTTGTTATCTGAGTGACAGCATCTGATGATAATTTTCCAAATGGGGTCTTAAACTCCTCTGGTGGTCTGAACAATGTAAAGATAGGAGACAGCATGTTATATATAAGTCTTCAACTAACAAATACTAAAAGCTCTTTCAAAAGTGGCTTCAAGAAATATTTAAGGATATTTTTCAGTTAGAGCAAAAATATATTAAGGTACTTTTTTTTAATTACTGGAAATCAGTTTGTGGTACTGTGGTGGCTTGCGTGTTACTGTGATACTAGAAGCTATGCCACCGGTATTGTAAATAGCAGCGGAGTCACCCAAGGTGGGCAGGTTTCAGCTGAGCTTCCAGAATAATACAGACTAGGAAGAAGGAAAGGTGGACTACTTCTGAATGTTTAGCCACAGAAGACGTTATAAATAGCAGTGGAACACTGTCAGATAGCACCAAAATACAAAATATTGAAATATTATGAATAGCACCAAAATATTATCAGATATAGTACCAAAAGATGAGTCCCTCAGGCTGAAAGGCACTCAAAATATGACTCGTGGAAAACTGCCTCCTCTAAGAAGAGTTAGGAGTCCTGGTGTGGCGCTGTAGGTTAATGTGCCAGACTGCAAAGCCATTTGAACTGCAAGGTTGGCAGTTCAAGCTCACCAGCGGCAACTTGGAAACTCTATACAGGATCACTATGGGTTGGAATCGACTCGACGGCACTTAACAACAACAACAACAAGAAGTAGAGTTAACCATGATAACATGAATAGAGTAAAGCTTTAAGGACCTTTATTTGTTATTAAGACACAACTCAAAATGACGAGAAAAAACTGTCAACATCCATTAATAATCAGAACATGGAATGTATGAAGTACGAATCTAGGTAAATTAGAAGATGTTAAAAATGAAATGGAATGCACAAAGATTGATACCCTAGCATTGTTGTTATTACTGTTAAGTACTAGTTGGATCCTAGGCATCAGAGTGAGCTGCAAAGGACAATTATATGATTTATTATGCCAGGAATGACAAATCACATTGATCATCAAAAAACCAATTCAAGATCTATCTTGAAGTATAATGCAGTCTGTGATAAAATAATCTCCATATGCCTACAAGTTAAACCAGTTAATTGCACAATTATTCAAATTTATGCACCAACTACTATAAGCAGTGATGATGAAATTTAAGGTGACTGTACACAAGGACCTCACCAGATGTAATACACAGAAACCAAACTGACTAAATTTTGGGAAGAAACGGTAGAAGAGCTCCTTAACTTCAGCCAAAACAAGGCCAGCGGACAACTTTGGAATGGACCATCAATTGTTCATAATAAAGTTTAGGTTGAAGCTGAAGAAAATTAAAACAAGTCCATAAGATCCAATATTTGACTTCGAATATTGTTGTTATTGTTAGGTACTGACTCACAGTGACTCTATGCACAACAGAACGAAACACTGTCTGGACCTGGGCCAACCTCACAATTCTTGCCACACTGATGCTGCCACTTTGCCAATCCATCTCATTGGGGGTCTTCCTCTTTTTCTCTGACCCTCCACCTTACCTAACATGATATCCTTCTCCAGACTGATCCCCCCTGACAATATGTCCAAAGTAGGAGAGACAAAGTTTGGTCATCCTGGCCTCCAAGCACTCTGGGCTGCACTTCTTCCAACACAGATGTGTTGGTTCTTTTGGCAGCCTATGGCACTTTCAATATTCTCCTCTAACACCATAACTCAAAAACATCAAATCTTCTACGGTCTTCCTTATTCACTCTCCAGCTTTTGCATGCATATAAGATTATTGAAAATACCCTGGCTTGGGTCAAGCACATCTTAGTCCTCAAGCTGACATCTTTGCTCTTCAACACTTTAAAAAGGTCTTGTGCAGCAGATTTGCCTAACACAATGCGTCACTTGATTTCTTGATTGCTGCTTCCATGAGTATTGATAGTTGATCCAAGAAGAATGAAGTCCTTGACAACTCCAATCTTTTCTTCGTTGATAAGAATGTTGTTTATTGGTCCAGTGGTGAGGATTTTTGTTTTTTTTACATTGAGATGTAATCCATTCTGAAGGCTGTGCTCTTTGATCTTCATCAGTAAATATTTTAAGTCCTCCTTACTTTCATCAAGCAAGGTTGTATCATGTAATATTATAGGCTGTTAATGAGTCTTCCTCCAATCCTGATGCCACATTTTTCGTCATGTAACCCAGCTTCTCGGATTATTTGCTCAGCATACAGGTTGAATAAGTATGGTGAAAGACTATAACTCTGCCGCACACCTTTCCTAATTTTAAACCATTCAGTGTTCCCATGTTCTGTTCGAACAACTGCCTCCTGGTCTGTGTACAGGTTCCTCATGAGCACAATTAAGTGTTCAGGAATACTCATACTTCACAATGTTGTCCATAGCTTGTTATGATCCACACAATTGAAAACCTTTGCGTAGTCAATAAAGCACAGGTAAACATCTTTCTTGTATTCTTGGCTTTCAGACAAGATCCATCAGACATCAACAATGATATCCCTCATTCCATATCGTCTTCTGAATCCAGCTTGAACCTCTGGGAAGTTCTCTGTCAATGTATGCTTGCAGCCATTTCTGGATTACTTTTAGTAAAACTTCACTCACATGGGAAATCAAAGATATTGTCCGATGATTTCTCATTCCATTGGGTTACCTTGAATATATCACACCTTCATTTAGACATCATCCTGAGAATAGATATCATGCATTAGACACTAATGAGCAAAGATCAGAAGAGTTGTGGGATGACATCAAAATATCATGCAAGAAGAAAGCAAAAGGTCATTAAGAATTCAAGAAAGAAGAAAAAGACTAAAATGAATGTTAGAAGAGACTCTGAAACTTGCTCTTCAGCATAGGGGTGCTAAAACAAACAGAAGAAATGAAGTAAAGGAGCTGAATAAAAAAATTTAAAGGGCATTTCAAGAAGACAAAACCAGGTATTATAACAAAATGTGCAATGACCTGCAGTTAGAAAACCAAGAGGGGAAAACATGCTCAACATTTCTCAAGTTGAGGGAACTGAAGGAAAAATTCAAGCCTCAACTTGCAATATTGAAGATTCTATGGGCAAAATATTGAATGATGCAGAAAGCATCAACAGAAGATGAAAGGAATACACAGCGTCACTGTACCAAAAAGAAATGATTGATGTTTAACCATTTCAAGTATAGCATATGAACAAGAGTCAATGGTCCTGAAGGAAGAAATCCTTGGCACTGGCAAAGACCAAGTCTCTGGGAGTTAATGGACTACAAATCGAAAGTTTTCAACGAACTTATGCAGCACTGGAGGAACTTACTCATCCAAGAAATTTGGAAGAAAGCTACTTGGCCAACTGACTTAAAGTGATCCATGTTTGTGTCATTTCCAAGAAACGTGACTCAACAGAATGAGGAACTCATCAAATAATACCATTAATATCACATGCAAGTAAAATTTTGCAAAAGATAATAAAAAAAAATGGCAGCACATCAACAGGGAACTGGCTAGAGGTACAAACCGGATTCAGAAAAGGACGTGGAACTAAGGCTATCACTCTAATGTCAGATGGATCTTAACCTAAAGTAGAGAATACTAGAAAAATGTTTACATGTGTTTTACTGACTATGCAAAGGCTTTTGATTATGTGGGTCATGACAAGCTATGGATACCATTGCAAAGAATGAGTATTCCGGAATGTTTAATTGTGCTCATGAGGAACTTACACATAGACACAGTTGTCTATGTATAGAACAGAGCAAGGTGACACTGAATGGTTTAAAGGAAGTAAAGGTGTATGGCAGTGTTGTATTCTTCACCATACTTATTCATTCTGTACAATGAGTAAATATTCTGAGAAGCTTGACTATATGAAGAACATGGCATCAGGATTTGAGAAAGACTCATTAACAACCTATGATACGCAGACGACTCAACCTTGCTTTGTAAAAGCAACGAGGATATAAAAGACTTACAAATGAAGATCAAAGACAACAGCCTTCAATATGAATTGCACTTCAGTGCAAAGAAAACAAAAATCCTCACCACTGGAGCAATAAATAGCATCATGATTAATAGAGAAAAAGGTTGATGTTGTCAAAGACTTCATTTTGCTTGGCTCCACAATCCACGTTCACAGAAACAGCAGTCAAGAAATCAAATGATGGGCGGAGGGACTTCTGGCGCTTCACTGACGAGGCAGCTCAGGTAGGGCTGTCTAGGGGAAAAGGGGCAGAATCGCACATAGGAAACCTCTGTCTAGCAGACAGCCTTTGAACAAACATGAGATCTTATATTTCAACATTCTGAACTCATTTTCTTAAAAGATCAAATTGCTGAGGAATTAAAGGCATTTTGAGTTTTTGCCTGCCTGCATGCAGCTCCCACTCCCGCGCCCGTGCCAGTGAGTGCCACTGCCCCCTGCAGACCTTGGAATGCAGGGCTAGAGCAACCCCACTTAGAAGGCTGCATTTCCAGAGAAAAGGAAGCATAAACTAACAAAGCCGAATAAATAGAGAGGGATATTGGTGTGGATATCAGGAAATTTGGGGTACCCATGGTACAGAGAGACTGAGAGAGGAATTTTCTATGTCATCAAATATAGACACTACCTCCCTGAAGCCACTACCCCCAGCCCTCTATCTCCTAGGTTAGACCGGCCCTCTGCCAAGCTGCCGAGGCTCAGGAATGCCCAAGGCACAGGACCGCCCACTGAGGCCAAGGAATGCCCTGAGGCCCAACCAGCCCACAGACTAGTCACAAAGGCACAGGCCCAACCAAGTCCCAAATTGCCAACCTGCCTCGCGGCCCAGGTGGTCCACAGCCCAGTCGCCGCCGAGGTCCAGGGTCTCGAAGGCCCAACCTGCCGCACAGCCCGATCACCAAGGCCCAGTGCCCCTGAGACCCAACCCGCCCCGAGGCCCAAGCCGCCCGCTAAGGCCCAAGCTGCCTGATGCCCAGCTGCTGATACCCAGGCCCCCTGAGGCCCAAACCGCCCGCCTGAGACCCAAACCATCAGCCTGAGGCCAAAACCATCCGCTCAAGGACCAACCCTCCTGCAGC